ATGTTCATGTTAAAAAAAGGGCCTGAATGAAGAAGCTGATGGCCTTCGTGGAATTGAGAGAATTCTAATGCCACTAAATCTGAAGATGATCAAAGTGGTCACACTACAAATATGTAATTATTCGAGTGTGTGACTGCTTATGAATTCAGAGGGTTTGTTCTAAGCATTATTTTAAGCTCGTGCACACAAACATTTTCAGATTGGCTTAAAACACTTCTGGTCGGTCAACTCAAGTGTATGTGGACAAACAGTGAAACAGGTAGTTTTAGTCGAAAAAGCGCATCGTTGAAAAGCAGCAATGACTAATAAAACAGTATATACGAAGCTAAAATAAGATGCTCTTCCGAAATATATTCGCTTTCGTGATGCTTTTTTTAGTTTGGCTGATTATCCTTTAGATCTTTATACAGCTTGGACTTAAAATGCATAACTTGATTACGCAGGCATTGCCAACTGCAGATGAGCTGGTCTATCTCTCTGTTAACCAACACAAACATTTTGGCTTATCTAAATTTCAGTTCCATTCATGACAATTTTTACAGGACAGTCAAGCACCAACTTCAAGACAAGAATGTTTACTAAAACAGTATAAAGCGAATTCTGCAAACTCGTATTTTTAATTAATTCTTCAGTCAGTTTGACCGCATCAACCAATGCTTAGTATGCATGTATTTGGAATAATGCAAGATCCTAGTTACCTGATGAGTGTGAATGAGGCTTAAGCCAACCGGCCAGTTCCTGAACGTATGCATGCCTAAATTGAATCTTTGCTCGAGTATAAGGAGAGTTGGTGCGCTAAATTAACTTGGATGCTCAAGCTGACTCTTTCGCATGCGCTTTTGATAGTTCGCTCAATATAGATGGTTTGTTATAATCGAAATATGTCTTCCTTTTCACCAGGGTCACCGCTAAACTGGCCTCATAAGTCTTGTGTTCAGCGCTTCCCTGTCTTGGCTCTCGATGTCTCCGCCGCCACATGTTCGCTAGCCTGTCGGGCCTTTGGTGTTGGTGCACTTGGTCTTTGTCGGCGCAGCCTTGCGGCCGCATTGGCTAGCCGTTTGGCCTCCTCGGATCGGCGATAGCCAGCAAGGCCACTAGTACTGCCTGCCGATTGTCGAGGCAGAGTTTGATGAGGTTGCTGGTCCTCTCCCCTGTCTACAATGTCGCCACCCGAGGAGTAGACGTCAAGCGGTGCATCCACTCTGTTGTAGGCATCGTCTGGCTCTGAGTTCTCGGGTGAGGTCATCGGCTGTGAGTGTGACCTGGACGCCGGTTCACTGGCGATCAACTGGCAGCCTGACAACTCGAGCTGATACCAAAAATCACATGTACACCCGTCAGATGCGGCCGCAGCTGCCGACGACCGAGGCTGTGCCTTGATCGCCGGCCAGCCTCCGGTGCTTCTGGCTCCAGATCGCTGGTGATGTGGATGCAGGTGCCGGTAGTGCGGGTGTAGATGGGCGTGGTGTGTTGTTGCATGAGCATGTGGTCTTGTCTGGTGAAGAGCCATCAAGTAGGGCTGTCGATAACGTAGGGTTTCGTAAGCCAATTGTCGAGCTCGACTTGGAATTACGCAATAGGCATCATAGAACTCCTGCCCTGGAGACAAATAGGCCTGGCCCGGGGTCTGGTGGCGCAGATGCGGCCAGGCTGAGGGACAACAGGAGTGTAGATGTCTGTCGGCAGTGACCATAGCGGCTGGCGGTCTCTGGCGACGGCCACTGGGACTTGGCGGTATGGCTGAATCGTGTGTTGGCGACGCATGGTATACGAGCATTCTGGGGTCAGTCAGGCCATGACTCGTCCTACTCCACATGGCCCGTGGATCCCAGACCGATTGGTTGGCCGACTTTCCTGTGGCCGCTTGCGCACTGGCCGATATTGAGGTGGAGGAGGACTGCACATGAATAGAATGCGGTGTCACCTCTTTGGCCGATAAGCCGGACGTCGGGCTACCAGTTGAGCCGAACTCGAATGATGAGCCTAGACCCGGTGTGCTCAACATAGACCGCAATTTTTGCGTCGAATCGGGTATCCCTCGGGAAACCGAAGCGAGGCTCGGCTTCGCACGGGCACTGGACGAGAGTCGCTGTCGCTTCGCTTTGCGTCGTCTAGGCCGTGTATCCTCGTCGTCATGGGTCGCATCTATTAAACTCGCTCCCTCTGTCTGGCCAGTGGTCGGAAGGCCAAGGCTGGTTAGACCGGAGTGGGTTTCTTGTGAAATTTCACTTGCTG